GCTCGTGCGCTGCTCCTCGATTCTTCGATCTTCGATCTTCCTCCTCTCGGATTTCACCTCGTATACTTCGATCTACTAAACACGTGGCACTAGACACGTAATAGTTAGAATTAACGGAAGAAAAAGAAAGAAGAAAAGAGTACCGAAAGGGATCGGCCAATAGATGGCCGATTCCGGCGACGGAGGAGCGACGGCGGCGCGGTGGTGGCCGCGGGGAGAGTGGCCGAGAGAGAGAGTGTAGCAGCTAGGGTTAGGGTTTTCACTTGTGTGTGTGCAAGACCTATAAATCTTATATTTATAGTGTCTTGCATAAAACCCTAGCGGGCTTAAGTTGGACCGGGCCCAACAGCTTAAGTTCGCTAGTACTTTTACTTGCTCGTTTCTCTCAATCCAATGACCGAAAAATTGCAACGATTACATTTTCGGAATCATTATAAAGTCCTCGTCATTACGAGTGTCAATTCTCATTTTCCAACTTTCTAAAAGTGGAAACCCTAGTTCAGTGCACTTTCTAAATTTGGAAACTTCCCGATTTAGAAAGTCCACGACAACGCTCGCCTATTCTTTTCCTTTTCTTATTCTCATTCGTAATTCCAAATTACGAATGTTGGACTCAATCGTATTGACTTCCAATTATGCAAAGATAAACTATTTTATCTCTGACCGTTTATTCAAAGATCTCATGTGCACGAGCAGTGTGACCCTCGATGGTTCAGGTGTAAGCTAGCCGTGGGCCCACAACTCTTTGTGGTCAAAACTCGTCCCTTAGAGTTACGATTAAGATGAAGCTCGTTTCACCTTAATCACCCAACGAATCAAGATTGGCGTCTAGCAACTACGCGTCATGATTCCCTAGATACAAATGAAGTGCCTGCAAGAACCTTCATATATAGTTAACGTACAGTACGGTCCCTTCGATGCATATGTCCCGATCGAACTAGAGGCATTGGTTCATCGAGACCTCTTTATATGTTCGATGACGGTGCGATCGTTCCAAGTGTTGTAATCGTCACGTGCATGACTTAGAGAATCGAATTCTCTAATCATCACTTAGTCAGCTCTGGCCTGAGACTTAGAATGATCACAAACTTTCAGAACACACAGGACATCCAAGACTATTCTAGCGATCGAATCCCCGACTACAATGCACAGACCTCCCACTAGATTTCGGACTGCACGAACACTGGCCCTTGGGATGGTCCTCGGTGGAACTCAGGGACAGGTCACGATACAGCTGGTCCTCTAGTGAAGTCACGGTGATGTCTAGGTCATAAGGACTAATGGTGTACGACTATACCATAGATATCTCTACTCGATTATTGGGAACCGCTTAGAAATTTCTAGGGTGAGGGAGTTCAGTGAACTCGTCAACTTACGAGCACCCACTTATGCATGCCGATATCACAATACCGTTTACTGATGAGATGCAGTACACATACACTAAGTGCTAGTCTTAATGGGAAAGGCCGATATCCTCATTAGTGGCGTAACCCTTCGACTAGGAACACGTTTAACAGTTATAATACTTAAGTAAATATCTCACGATCCTAACGATCAATTACTAGTACTTGTAATAACTGTAAGGACTATATCTATGCTTGTGACAAAGGGACAAAGATATAGAATGCCAAGGTGTTTTATCATTAATACGAATAAAGGTTCGTTTATTACAATAATAAATACGAAAGACCACAGCCACATATTGGCTTGTTGGTCACCTACTCTAACAATAAGTCCCTCAAACGAAACCTAATTTGAACTAAATGACAAGTTCAAATCCAATCTTTTAATTAAATCCTTAGTTTGAAATAATATATGAGCAACATCCCTAATTTTTTTTTATCCCTATCTTACCCTTATACCCTAATTATATAACCTATACATTCACGTTTCTTCAATTTAGATTTATTTCTTTTGTTTTCTCTCTCTCACGTTCTCTCTCTCACCGTTCTATCTCTCACGTTCTCTCGATCTCTCACTATTCTCTCTCACACGTTTTTTCTTATCTCCCTTTCTCTCTCTCGCTTTCTCATTTCTCTCCAATAGCAGCATGAAGGCCGTCGCCGGCGCTAGCGACGGAGGGAGAAGGAGCAGGGGCCGTGGTGGAGGCCGGGACGGCGGTGGCAGCAGGAGGCGTGGTGGCGGCGGCGATGGCAGCGGCGGCGGGTGGAGGCGCGGTGGAGGAGGCGACGACATGGGGTTATGTGGTGGGGGCCGGTGTTGTGGTTATGGTTGGGATGTTATTGAAAACATATTTTGATTAATTAATCGCATCTAATTTTCTTATATTTTAAGAGATATTGCTTGATTTGGGTTCATATGGTGGATTTAGGGTTTTTCAAAGTCGGTAGGTGGATACAGTCGCGGCGGCTGCGAGCGGTAACTGCTAGAGTTCGCGGCGGCTGAAAATTGTTGGCGGCTAGGGTTCGGTCGTAAAGCATAGTATACTATAGTATACTATAGTACACCGTAGTATACTACACCCAAGTATACTATAGTATACAGTAGTATACTGTAGTCTACTACAGACAAATTGAAAAATATGTAAATTGAAAAAAAAATATAATACTTTTTTTTTTTTTTGGTAATTTTCAATATTATGTCGAAAAAAAAGAAGAAGAAAAAGAAATTTTTATAATAATGTATAAAATAATAAAATGAAGAAAGAAAAAAAGGAAGATATGTAAAAAAATGTTCATATGGAAATTTGAAATATTAAATGCATAATAAATAAAATGATAAATACAGTTTGGAATTTACTTAATGCATATTTCGAATTTATGAGTAGATGGACATTTTTGGAATGAATTTTATAAAGGATGTGAAGCAAAGATTTAGTTGAACTTGTCATTTAGTTCTAATAAGTTTTGTCACTAAGGACCTATATCCTAAGGCCCCTAAAATAAAAGGTCGTGAGGTGAAAGATGTATACCTTTTATATTCTTATTTTATTTTCAAATCAGAACCAAATTATCGAATTTCAAAGTTCCAAAAAAAAAATTGATTTTAGATTTTTTTTATCTAATTTAAATTTAAAAAATAATTTAAAATATTTCAACTTTGTTTTTTTTCTTTGTAATATTAATATTATAATAAATATTAGGATACACCAAATGTGTGCAAAATCGAGATTGGGGCGAGTACACCAAATGTAGCGCCATGATTTCGACAAGACAGAGGTTCGGATAGCATCTTTTTGGGAGAGGAAATACAGTATCCTCTGCAATATCTCTTTCGGCAAATCGGATATTATGTCCATGGAGTTGGAGCCGTCCTGCGTGTAAGAAACCCTAGTGAAATTAACTCGGGAAACCATATCTATGATCTATAATATACATACAATGAAATATTTCTACGGAAGGCTGGAAATCGAACTGATCGGAAAAAAAAAAATTCAAACAGAAAAAAAAAAAACCTGGAAATTGGGGAAATGATGTTCACTGTGAGCGAGACGATTGAAACACGGATAACTAGCAACGGCGGCGGAGCATATTTGGAGGGAGGAGGACGGCGGTATACGATAGCAACTCCGGCGATTTTGAGAGAAAAAGAACGGCGGTATTTAGGTTTTGTAAAGATTGATTTCAGGGAAGAAAAGATGAAGAAAGAAACTAGGTAGTGGGCGGAGGGCGAGTGAAACGGTTATTATTTTTGAAATAACAGTCTAGTCCTCATATAGTTTAGTCTTCATACAGTTTAGTCCTCATACTTAATATTTTTTTGTGAAAATGTTTACAGTCATTTTTATGACTGGGATTAGGTTGGATCGGTTGATTACCAGCCTAAAAATCAACATGTCCGACAAATCAATTTTGTGTAAATTTGAAAACCATTGACATTTTAGCACTTCGCCCTCTCAAAAAATCTATTACAATTTAACCCCTCATGAGATAATATTATTACAATTACTCCGAAGGGTAAAATGGTATATGTTTAGAGATATTACATGGATTGAAAATGATCCCGTCAAAATTCAAACAGTAAGGGGATTTTGTAAGATGGCAAACGAACTTTAAGAGGTTTTTGGTAATTATTAATACATATGAGAGTTTTTTTGTAAATTGACCTTAGTTCAAGAGCTTTATTATAAATTATTCTTAATGTTTTGCACTAAAATGTTTATGGCTATTTAGTCATTTCAGTTTAAACTAAAATGTCAATGTTTATGAGCTCATAATTAGTTTTGTCTTAATTACAAATAACCCCTGAGGTATATCTAAATTACAAGAACTCCTCTCCTATTTACGAAATTACAATTTGCCCCCTCAAAAGTTAATGTATCTTAAAAAATCTTAACATGAGTTAAACTATCTAAACTACCCCTATATTAAAACAAAATAAACACTCGCTTGGTCATCAATTCCATAATAAAGGCGTTGCATTTAGCCCTCTAAAAAACGGCTTTTTTGCACTTCATCCCCTCAAAATAGGAAAACGAGATTGTCCGATGCACTTTGCTCCAAATACGTATTTCCGGTCTAATTCTCGCCGATAAAAATGAAGGTGAAGAAACGAGAAGCTTGTGAGGTATGTAAATTTGGCCACTCTAAGGTGTTTTGGCCAAAACACCTTGGAGTTGCCAAATTTACATACCTCACAAGCTTCCTGGGGATGTGGTTGATGAAGAAAATGGAGAATAAGTGAAAAATGCGGCACAAAAACATGGCATTTTGCCGCATGCACTTTGCCGTTTTTGAAATTTTAGCATGCACCGCTAATCAATGTCGATTTCGGGGTGTGAAACGCAATTCACTCATTTGTTATGTTTGATTTGGTGAAACAAGAAAGTTTAAATTAAATAGCATTTGGCCACCTTAAAAAAAAGGTTGAACGATCGCATCGGAACTCAACGTGGCACAAAAAAATGAGTTCTGAAGCGATCGTTCAAACTTTTTTTAAGGTGGCCAAATGAAAAACGGATCAAAGTACAGACGGCAAAATGCTATTTTATATTTCTTGTTTCACCAAATCAACCATAAAAGATGAGTGAACTGCGTTTCACGCCCCGAGATCGACATTGATTAGCGGCGCACGCTAAAATTTCAGAAACGGCAAATGACACACGATCAAATTATATATATCACACAGCATAATGCAATCTATATCAGGTAAGATAAAGGAAGTCATTTAAATTATAAAGGTTTAATTCAACTTAGTTCAATACAAACATCCAAAAACATTGAAGAAAAAATTCAACCATGAAATGTAGTTTCTCTTACAAACATACAACATTACACTTGTTGGATACAGCTTCATTTCTCTCTCTATCAGCTTGATCGAATTCTGCACTACGGTCTTGCCTTCGCTATAGTCATGATGCTTTCCGGTTGGAACCGAACGCCCTGCATTTATCGAGTAATAATTAACAAGTATGTTTAACTTAGATTTCGAGCAAAAATCAGAAAACGAAAAAAAAATAATAATAATAATAATAATAATAATAATGGTCGTAGAATCTCCTTTATTATGGTCTCGTCATACTTCTCGTTGAATCGCTATAGACAAAAAAAGAGACGGCGATGTAGCTCAAATTAAAACGATATGTACTAGGGTTTAATCAAGCCACAATCCATATTTGGAAAAAATATATATATTTTTTATCCAACTCTTATAAACACATAAAGTCGACAGTAAATCATCATATAATATTAATCGACCGACCTATCGGAAGTTACGATTTGTATTCATTTAATGGAACATGTTTTTCAACAATGAATACAATTATTTTTTTTCCAGGTTTCGCAGCTAAAATCAGATTTATCGAAGTTAAATACAAGTCTAATTAACCATACCGTTACACCAATTAAAAACGAGTGCGTCGATAAGTTTATAAAATAGTGCTTGAATTAAAAGCCAAATAAAAATAGAAGTGGACTCACATTAATCTTGATCACTCCATTTCATTTGAATCCGAAACTCCGTAAATTCAGTTTCCGACAGCTTCGTCACTTCAAAGGGCTGCCATTCCAGCCGGATCTCGTTGAGACCTTCAAAGGTGCAACCCTCCAAATCCCGCCAGATTTCTCGGTTTCCATTTTCGATCATCTTTGTGAATTTGCCGAAGAACTCACCGGCTTCCTTCTGTTTCCTTTCGTCGGTCCAAGTTCCTTTCCCTAACCATTGCGGGGTTACTTTCCTCGGACGACAAATACAAAACAAACCACTTAAAACGTACGGAAATAACGACAATTGACCGATTTCCAGTCTGAAATTCTCCACCACAACCGGCTTATAATTACCATCATTAATATTGTCGCGTACTAGAATATCTTCTTCGATTTGCAGATCGAAACGCGCAAGATGAAAAATGTGCAGAGTGATTTCGGACCGACGTAAATCACGGAGCAACGCACTTAGTCGGAGGAACCACGACTGAGCGTCGTTCACACCGTCGTCCCGCATGTACAGTTTCAAATTCGATCTCCCGGAAGAAGGGGCGAAAGAGACGGATGGAATAACGAGCCCCGTGTATTCGTAATACTCCATGTTCGGGGCATCAACGCATAACACCGGAGATCTGTCGACCGAATTGATGGCGATATCCACGTTCGCTAGATATAAAGACTTGATATTACATAACTCATGGCCGTGAAACCGAATCTTACTGCCGAAAATCTTGACTTTCTCGAGAGTCGGGGCATCGATTTCGATGCTGCAGTCGTCTTTTTGATAAGTGACGTCGTTAATAAAAATGAACTGCTTGAGATGTTTGTGAAGCTTCGTCTCCAACTTTATAGTTGTCAACCCTATACAATCTTGGAACCACATACTAGCAAGCAAAGCACAGCTCGATATCACCTTGTCGAAAATCTCTTGCTCGATCGAGACGTTTTGGAGGCGGAGTGCTTGTAGACGCACAAAGGGTATCTTCTCGGGAATATTCCGGCCCAAATCGCAATTATACAGCCACAAAAGCGTTAGGGGCTCGGCTTTCAGAACCACCGGCAAATCGATCATCCCACCAACTTCATCTTTCGAAAGAACGTAAAGACGAAAATCATTTACGCCCATGGATTCGAACTTCGGGATCCACTTATCGAGAAGCGAAACCGACACATGGTTCGACATGTGAAGGTGAAACTCCTCCAAGCGCAACCCTTGATCGAGGTATCCTCGTAAAGTCTCGTCGACAACGGATAGAAATTCTTGTTCCTTACCTCTGAAGTAATTGTCGTTGTCGGAAAAAACGAGATTGGGGCGAGTGCGCCAAATGTGGCGCCAGGGTTTCGACAAGACGGAGGTTCGGACAGCTTCTTCTTGGGAGAGGAGACACAGAATTCTCTGCAGGATCTCTTTCGGCAACTCCGATAGCATATCCATGGATTCCGGTCGGCGATCTGAGTTTGCCTTTTTCATGTCTGTAATAAATAAACCAAACCCTAATGAAATGCCATTGGTAAAATCAGATGTGTAGAAACCCTAATTCAATGGAACACAGATTTTGGGGGAGAGAGAGAAGAGCGGCGGTGAATTCGATGAAGAGGTGATTTGCTGCAGACAGTGAATTGAAATGATTTTCATTAGGTTAAGAGTAGCCGCCGTTCTTTCTTAATTTTGCTGAAAGTGTCATGTAATAAGAAAACCCTAATTAGAACTTATGTGAAATGACGTTTTTACCCCTGAACAATTTTCATTGAAGGAACTCATTCGGACAACCTGGATTGAGCAGGAATAGAAGTTTCTGCCCTAATTATTTTATCTTTCTAAGGTAAATTGTCTGCAAATGGTGTTTTAAATCTCAACTAGTTATTATTTGAAGAAAAATATATTTTTCGATCCCGATTTGGTGGGGATGGCGGCGAATAGGATACGTTGTCTTGAGGTGTTGACCACTTACGTTATGATTTTGTTGAAAAGAAACGAAAAGATACCTTATTTACAGAGTTTAGTTACGTACGTTCGTGGTGCTCGAGAAGCAAACACAACATGAAAATTCAAGTGCTTCTAATAGTGAGCATATATAGTTTAAAACCCTCGACTAGTTTTGACCGAGGCTCAATTTGCGAGCTTATTTAGAGCCTGTTTGACTGAGCTTATAAAATGTTAAAAATAGTTTATAAGATGATTGAGAGCTTAAAGGAATTGAATAAAGAGTTTATTTGGAAACCTTACTTAAATAATGTTATTAAGAGTAGAACTCGATTCACAAGCTTCACTCCATTGCAAGCGAAGGCGGAGACGGTTACTCAGCAAAATCGATTCTTGATCCGAGTAATCTTCGCCTAGCAGGTTTATTCGAAGGCGAAATTTCCTCTAAACACAGCTTTTAATTACAGTTTAGCTGTATAGTCTTGTCGACAACCAATAGAAATTCTTGACGGCTTCCTTTGAAGTTGGGGTATGAAAAATCAAGATCGAGATTATGGCGAGTACACCAAATGTTATGCCATGATTTGGACAATACATATGTTCGAACAACATCTATTTGGGAGAGGAAATAAAGAATTCTGTTCATGGAGCTGGAGCCCTCCAATCAAACCCTAAATTAAAAAAATTTCAACCTTGGTAATTATATGCTGAAATCTTTCAAACCCTAATACACCCTAAAGATTTTCTTGCTAAATAAATCATAAAAAAAAACCTATTTTTGTGTTGTATTATACAGTAAACAAATGATCGCTTGGTCATCGATTCCGTAATATATAAATGTGTTGCACTTGGCTCTCATAAAGGCCTTTTTTGCACTTTCCCACCTCAAAATAGGAAAACGAGAATGGAGGTGAAGAACGAGAAGCTTGTGTGGTATACGTAAACAACTATTTGCTATGTTAGTTTCTAATATTACTCATCTTTACAATAATTGAGATAAATAGGGTGAAAATGAAAAACGGGCAAAAGTACAGACGGCAAAATGCTATTTATCCTGTTCTTTTTTTTTACCAAATCAAACAAAAAAAACCGAGTGAATTGCGTTTCACACAACCAACATCCACATTGATTAGCGGCGCACGATGAAATTTCAAAAACGGCAAAGTACACCATCAAATTATGCCTCACGCAACATAATGCACCCAGGGCCGGCCCTGGGGTGGGGCGAGCAGGGCCCACACCCAGGGCCCAGTTTTACTAGGGGCCCATTTTCAGTGTTTTTATATATATATACTAATACTTTTTGTGTGAAAAAAAATATATTTCTGTTGTATAATTTTTTTTATTCATCTATTGTTTAAAAAAAATATATTTTCTATTTATAAATTTTAATACTTAATTTACAATATATACAATTTAATTTTTCTTATTTTATTCAAACAAAAATTATTTCCTACATTTCTAACATTTGCTTAATAAAACAAAATTTAGGTATACATTAATATTTTCAATATTTTTTATAAATAAATTTAAATTAATAAATATTTGTCTATATTATTTCATCAAAAAAAAAGGAAAAAAAAAAAAAGTCGGACCGAGACCTCATATTATTAAGGGCACAAAATATATTCTCGCCCCGGGCCCCCGAATACGCCGGACCGGCCCTGAATGCACCCTATACGTACCTATGCACGATTAACAAATAACTATTCGTACGTATGCGCATTGCAATACGACACGTATATAACAATGTATTTTATCATTAGAAATAAACCATAATGGATCAAGAAATTGTCATAATAAACAACAAGCTAATCAACATATATGTCTTAAAAAACAATTCAACAATTTTCCCAAGAGATCGATTTCTCAGTCTCGGAAGATAAGGAAGTCATTATAAAAATATTGACGAAAAATTCGACTATGAAAATGTAATTTCCCTTTCACACATACAACATTACACTCGTCGGATTCAGCTTTCTTTACTCTCAATCAGCTTCATAAAATTCTGGATTACGGTCTTGCCTTCGCTAGTGAAGATGCTTTCCGGGTCGAACCGAACGCCCTGCATTTATCGAGTAATAACAAGAATGCTTAGCTTGGGTTCAAACAAAAATCAGAAATATATATAAATTAAAAAAAAAAAAAGCCAATTGAAAGTAGAATCGTCGAATTTCAGAGAGAGTTAGCTAGTCGTTTTCGTAAATAAAGGCGAAAAGGCAAAAGTAGTGCAACTAATCCGACTAGGTACAAATCTTTGTTGTTAGTCAATATTATGATCAAAAGAATTAATGGAGACACAAGCCGTAATCGAACGACATATAGGAAGTTATGATTTGTATATATATAATGAATATCAAATTCAGATTGATCGTGTTTCGTTGAATACCACATTGTTCAACGAGTATATAAAGCTGAACTAAATTTTATATATTATCATGTATTGACCAGCCTGCATGAGAAGCCTACTCCAACGCATAAACGAGGCACAACGTACCCTAAAAAAAATTCAGCAATCAAAGGTAAATATCAATTCAAATCGAGTACGATCGAAAATTTATGAAAATAGTGCTCGAATTAACAAAAATCGTAAACAAGCGAACTATATACAACAAACGAACACGTCTTAAAAGTCAATAAATTCACAGAAAAAATGTTTAAATGATTTTTTTTTCGTTGTCTATGATTCTAAAGATTAGAAGTGGACTCACATTTAATCTCGATCACTCCATTTCAATCGAACCCGAAATTCCTTAAACATAGATTCCGGCAACTTCGCCACATTAATTACAGGTTGCCATTCTTGTTGAACCCGATTAAAACGTTCGACGGTTAACCCCTCCAAATCTCGCCAGATTTCTCGGTTTCCGCTATCTATCATCTTTTTGATTTTGCGGAAAAACTCACTGAGTTCCTCCAGTTCCGTTTCTTTGTAGCAACTTCTGTGCGGAGTTACGTTTTTCGGACGACAAATACAAAACAAACCATTTAATACAAACGGAAACGCGGAGAAATGATTGATCTCCAGTATAAAATTCTCCACCACAACCGGCTTATTACCACCACTAATCGCGTCGCGCATTAAAATGCCTTCTTCGATGCGCAGATCGAAACGGGCGAGATGAAATATTTTCAGACAAATTTCGGACTTTCGTAAACCCTGGAGCAATTTACTCAGCCGTAGGAACCACGACTGCGCATCTTCCGCGTCGTCGTCCCGCATATACAGCCTCAAAGTCGACTTCCCGGAAGTCGGTGCGAAAGACACGTACGGGATAACGGGTCCCGTGTACTCGTAAACTTCCATGTTCGGGGCATCGATAAAAAACACCTGAGATTCTTCGACCAAATCGCTAGAGAGTACCGCGTTCGCTATACATAAAGACTTGAGATTACAGAACTCGTGGCCGAGAAACCGAATCCTGCTGCCGTAAATCTTGACCATTTCGAGAGACGGGGCACCGACTTCGATCATGCATTCGTCTTTACTATAGGCGATGTGATTAATAAATGTGAAGTTCTTGAGATTTTTGTGAAGCTCATTGTCCAACTTTATATTTGTCAACCCTTTACATTCTTCGAACCACATATCGGTAAGCGAACCGCAGCTCGAGGCTATCTTATCGAAAATCTCTTGCTCGATCACGACGTTTTTGAGGTGAAGTACTTGTAGACGCACAAACCGTATATTCTCGGGAACATTTCTTCCCAAATCGCAATTAAACACAAACAAAAGCGTGAGGGGTTCGGCTTCGAAGACTACGGGAATATCTACGATTTCCCCAACTTCACGTCTCGAAATAACGTAGAGACGGAAATCGTGCACGCCCATCGGTTCCAGTCTCGGGATCCATTTCTCGAGAAGCGGAACCGACACGTGGTTCGACATGCAAAGGTGGATTTCCTCCAGGCACACCCCTTGATCGAGGTACCCCTGCAGCGTCTCGTCGACGACGGATAGGAATTCTTGTCCCTTGTCTTTGAAGTAATCGGCGTCGGATAAAACGAGATTGGGGCGAGTGCGCCAAACGTGGCGCCACGATTTCGACAGAATCGAGGTTCCGGTGGCTTCTTCTTGGGTGAGGAGATACAGAATTCTCTGCAGGATCTCTTTTGGCAAGGAGGATATTCTGTCCATGGAGATCGAGCCCTCTTCTTCCTTTGCCCTTTTCATTCCTGTAATAAATAATTAAATAAACCCAAACCCTAATTCAGAAAATCCGAACTATATATATACATATATATATATATATATATACAAACCCTAGAAATGAAATGTTCTTACAGGAGGATTGTTGATTGAAACACAGGTTTTGGGAGAGAGAGAGAAGAGCGGCGGTGAATTCGATGAAGGGGTGATTGATTTGCTGACAGTGCCTCGAAATGATTTTCAGTAGCCGCCGTACTTTCTTAATTCGCTGAAAGTCATGTAATAAGAAAACCCTAATTAAAACTTATGAGAAATGACCTTTTTACCCTTGATCTTTATATATATGCCTGAGTCTATTTTCATTGGAATGGAAGTTTCTGCTCTAATGATTTTATTTTTGTAAGGTAAATTGTCTGCAAATGGTGTAAAATCTCAACTAATTATTTGAAAAAAAAAATTTACGACCCCGATTTGGTAAATTGTATACGTTTTCTTGAGATGTTGACCACATACGTTATGATTTTGTTCGGAGACTTGCCGTCTTAATTGGAAGATTTTGGAGTTTTTAGTAATATTTGGATCATAAATTTCTCATTGAACAAGCTTTTGTTAAGAGGTCCTTAAGCATATATTCACTCTCTATGTAAAGAGTTTACTTAATTACAAAACTTCAAATATATATATAATTTAGTTAGACGTCTTAGCTTATTCGGAGAGTTTAGTTGAAAAGAAACGAAAAGATACCTTATTTACAGAGTTCAGTTACGTACGTTCATAGTGCATAGCAGAGAAGCAAACGACATGCAAATTCAAGTACTTCTAATAGTGGGCATAGTTCAAAACCCTATAATTAGTTAAAGAGCTTTAGTTATAAAGATTTGACCGTATAGTTTATTTACAGAGCTTAATTACATCAGTGATAAAAAAACTTAGCAAACAAATTAAATATGCATTTCAACTAATTTTAATTAAAACCGTAGTTCATTAGTTAGAAAGCTTGACTACAAAACTCAATTAACAAGAAATTAGAGAGCTTATGTGCACATTTTAGTTAAACTAGGTAGGTGGACGTGCGTTATACGTTTTGTGCGTTGACGATTTAGATAATTGTTGAAGATTATTATGGAATGTTTCGAAAAAAATATAACGGAAAAAAGAAAAGATATCACACTCAACTGAATAAGTTTTAGTTTAACTGATTTCTGAAATAACTCAAGTTTTTACAACTCTGAAGTACTGATAGAGTAAACAAATAAAATTTAAATATAATTATCAAATGAAAAAAGTTCTTGATTACTAATTAGAAGTCCGACTCACAAGCTTCCCTGTGTTATATCTGTTGGATAATTTTTGCGGAAGTATATCAACAAGATTAACAAGGAAATAATTGAGGAGTACGTATCTCCTACATATTTTACTCTTGCCAATACATGTTAAATTACAAATACAATCTTACACTTATTTATATACTAATCTAGGCATAAGTAGTAATACATGCAACATATTAAATATATTCATCATGAATACTAGATATACATGTATCTAACAATTCATGTACTTGCCTATTCATTATCCTATCACACATTATACATGCATGTGGATATTCTAGAAAGTGCATTAATATTTCAACAATTTCAGCGGAAAGCGGATACCATCAAAGTCGGGCCACTATGCAGATACTAACAACTTCGCTACCCTTTAAAGGTTGCCGTTCTTGTTGGCTTTCATTCAAACTAACCCTCCAAATCTTGCCAGACTCGATCTTGCATCATTTGGATATTGCACATCACCACCTGTAAATTTCTAATTTTCGCAATTTACCCCATTAAAAATTTTAAAAGTGAATGTCCCCCTTCAAAATATTATTGTTGTTGCACATTGCCCCGATAGCGAAATTCCGATGGATTATTCATCGGAATTTAGTATTTTTGTTGCACAATGCCCTCAAAACTGGCTCATGGGGCAAAGTGCAATCAATATAATATTTCAAGGGTGGAATGTCCATTTTTTTTATTTTTAGAGGGGGAAAGTGCGGAAAACAGAAATTTATAGGGGACAAAGTGCATTTAGTCCTATAGTTTTTATACTTAATAGGACCCTTTTTTGAGAAAAAAAAATGTGGGTAGGGTAGGCTGCTAGCAATAGGGGTGTGAATTAGAGTTTCAATACATGCAAGTCTAACCATACTGTTACACCAATTTCAAAAGATGAAAGTTCAGAAAAATCAAGAAGTTTTAATTAATAACATGCAATTTCCTCACTTCGCAGACGGTAGAGCGCTTGTTTTGCATGCGAGATGCACGGGGTTCGATCCCCTTCTCAATGTACATTTGCAGCAAATTATATGCACTAGTCTCATTATTGTTGCCTATATATTATATGTATCCAGAAAATTTGCCTTTTATAATGGATGATATATATGCTTTCATGCATCAGCACAGATATTTGGAATCGTTGGTTCAACGAGCGAGCGCAATCTTTGATGTGTAGATCTCCACCTAGTTATTTTTTTTCCGGTCAAAAAACGGGAAACAAAACCGGTTTTATATAAACAAGGAAAAAAAGGGGGAAGAAAAAGTGTGTTCTTCTCCATTCTCCATTTGTTCTGTTGTGTGGATGATTAGGCGGTCGGTGATCGATGGTGGCTCGTGGGGAGCTATAGGAAAATTCCGGTTGACCCGGTCAAACTATACGTGTATAAAATCTAACAAATAAACTAATTACGAAAAACGAAAGACCAATCAAAGCACTGCATGGAGCTTGTCCCATGTCCAAAATGTAATCGGCATTGTTCTAAAGTAAAAGCTTAAACATGCACATATAATCAGAGTGGCGCAGCGGAAGCGTGGTGGGCCCATACCAGGATCGAAACCTGGCTCTGATATTGAGTGGCTTCCCTTTTGATTCATTTTTTCCGGTTTTTTTTTCCGGTTTTTTGTATTGAATTATTTTTAGGTTGGTTATATAACTACATGCGTAAATCTTTAAAAAGTGGGGATGTAGCTCAAATGGTAGAGCGCTCGCTTTGCATGCGAGAGGCACGGGGTTCGATCCCCCGCATCTCCATTAACTATAATTTTGTTTTTATAGAAAGAAATCATACAACATAACTTTTTTTTAACAATCAAATTTAAATATTTGTATAGTTTTTCTATTATATGAGTAAACTGCAAAAAGTACCCATGTGTAATCTCTAAATAGCAAAAACCCCCCTATGAAATTATTTAAATAGCACACTAGCCCCATTACTCATTTGAGGGTTGACTTCATATAAAAAGACCCAAATACCCCCGGGATTTTGCAATTAATAAATTCTTATATTTTTTTAAATATTTTAATTATTTTATTTTTGTTATATCTTAATTATAAAGGTACAATGGGGTCTTTAGTTTATTTCTATTTTTATTATCACATAATTTTGGTATATATTTTAAATTATCCCTACATCAAAAGAAAACTTAAATTTCATTATTATGTATTTAAAAAAATATATACTTAATTTGGTTAACAAATTTTTAATAATTTTTCAATTTAATTATTTTCTATTTTTTAACAATATTTTAATTTTTAAACAACCAAATTAAAAAGAAAATATATATACATATAATATATATACATATAAATACATTTTAAGGGTCAATTTCGTCATTTCATGTCCAAAAACCAACTCCCAGTCGCACAACCCGCGAGTGAGCCACACACAAGTCAACTAGGGGGTTTTTGCCTTTGATTAAATTTCACAGGGGGGTTTTGCTAGTTTATTTATCACAGGGGGGTTTTTGCTATTTAGAGATTACACAGGGGTACATTTTGCAGTTTACTCCAAACTACTGCAAATTAAGCAAAACTATGACGAGAATGATGCAGTGGATGTTCGTGAATTTGTGGAAGCGTCTGCGAAGTGAAAGAGTAGGTGAGGAAATTGTATTAGTTTATGATGTGATAAGAAGTGGACTCACAATCTTGATATATCACTCCATTGCAATCGAACCCGAAAGTTTGAAAATCCAGATCACGACAAATTCGCCACCTGTAAACGTTTCCATTTTCGTCGGCTCTCGTCATATCCTTGAATGGTAAAATCCTCCAAATCTCGCCATATTTCTCGGTTTCCACTCTCTCTCATCTTTTCGATCCTGCGTAAACACTCTCCGAGTTCCTTCAGTACGTTTTCTTTGTTCCGATGGCTTAGCGAGAACCAGCTCGGATTTATATTCCTCGGGCGACAAATACAAAACAAACCGTTTAAAACGGATAAAAATGAAGACAAATGGCGAATGTGCTCCACCACAGCAGGCTTATTACCACCACCATTATTAATAGTGTCGTGTACTAGAATCTCTTCTTTTATACTAATATATAGTATTTAAATAAAAAATAATATATAAATAAAACATAAGGCTTGTGACCTCACGAACAACTAAAAAAAACTCGAGTTTGAGCTCGAAAAATTCGAGTTCGAGCTTTTTTCAAGCCAGCTCATAGAGCTCACGAGCGGCTCAGCTTGTTAACCACACCTAGCCTCATTTTTTTTCTATTTTGAGGGGGCGAAGTGCAATTTGCCCTTTCTTTTATTTATCGAATCAAACATAAAATGGATGAATTGCGTTTTACACCCCAATATTTGCATTGATTAGCGGTTTACACCCTAAAACTTCAAAAATGGCCAAGTGTTCTCCATTCATAATATACCTTAAACCATGCAAAATCTAAAATACAGAATGTAAAAATATTGGAAACTCCTTTAAAAAAAAACAAACAAAAACAAAAACAAAAAACAAAAAAAACAGTTTGTCTCCATATCAATACGAAGCGAATATGAATACGTTTCCGTTGTTCGTAGCTCGGCAATTCAAACACCGGGCGCCATTCTCCCTCTCGCATCGCCTCCAATCTCACTTCCTCCAGATCTCGCAACAACAACTGTGCCAGCTCATCATCTCTGTCTCCACTCTATACACTAATGATTCTCCGATGACAAATACAAAACGCAGCGTTTATAAATATACGAAAGAGAAGATAAACGACATAGTCACAAATTCAAGCTCTCCGCCACAATAGGTTAATCCCAACTATAAATGTCTCGTATTACCGGCCGATTAATGTTTTTTGGAGTAATACACAGACAAATTTTCGATTGGCTTAACGACTTGAGCAGTTCATCCAGCGACGACGAAGAATCATCATCGTCACCCAAACACACACATATAAGTGAACACCACTTGCGGGAAGTAGTTGGTGCGAAAGAGATTGATGGGATAAACGAGCCTCCGTATGCAAACATGTTTATCTTCGGTGCGTCGATAAATAGATTGATTCCTTTCAGTCCGTTGCAAGATAAAATCTTCAAGCACTCGAGGCTTGGGAATTTACACGAGGACAAGTGGTCCAATGACGCGGCGACACACCACAAATATAAGTCTTTGAGATTACGAAAGTACCCTCCTCCGTAGGACCATGGATTACCGTTATTAATTTTGATGGTTTCGAGAGAAGGGGGGTGGATTTCGATGTTGATGCTACAATCTTCCGCGCCGAGTTTCGAAAAAGTGAAGTACTTGAGATTGTGTAAACGATTCGCCTTAATGTTTTTTAACCTCTCGCATTCGTTAACTTCCAAAGTTTCGATCGAAGGACAATTCGAGATTATCGTCTCGAAAACATCGTCCTCGATGTAGACTCGTTTGAGACAAAGTGATGTTAGATGCTTGAAGAGCACGATCCTTTCAATACCCATTCGGCCCAAGATGAATCCCTCCACGCGCAAATCTTGGAGCGATTCGGCTTCAAAGACTACAGACGGCAGATCGACAACTCCCGAAATACGTTCCCAACTATTCGAAAGGCGTAGCTTCTTCACACCCATAACTGCGAGTGCTCGAATCCATTTTTCGAGAAGAGAAACGGATTCGTGATCCAAAACACGCAACAAAATATGGAGGCTAAACTCATCTACACGCAACCTTTGATCACAGTATCGCCGTAAAGTAGTATCGACAACGGAGAGAAATTGTTGTTTGTTACCTTTGAAGGTGTCGTCTGAAAAATCGAGATTGGGACGAGTACACCAAATATTACGCCATGATTTGGACAAGACAGATGTACGGATAGCTTCCTTTTGGGACAGGAAATAAAGTATTCTCTGCAAGATTTCTTCCGGCAACTCGGATATTTTGTCCATGGAGATCGAACCCGCATTCCCTTTTGCCCTTTTCATGTTAACTTTACTACTCAAAAAAAAAAAAAATACAAACTCTGATTAATAAACAAAAACTCCTTTATATAGAAAACTTATTATTCGATTACTTTATGTTACGTACAACTCTACAATAGGTAGATTTAGATTTGATTTTCTTTTCTTGCATATGAATTTTCAATCTTTAAGGATTCTTAATATTTAGAGAAAGATCCCCCACCTTCTATGTGTAAGTTATATATGATAACAAAAGTTAGGGTTTTGCTATATACACGTGAAAGAAAGTTATCTACAATTAAATGATATTAAATTAATACAATTGAGACTAGGGGTTCGGATCGGAATCAGCCCTTTTGGAATTTTTTTGATTATTTTGAAAGTGAAAAACTAGTTCTAATTTTGTTCCAAAAAATTCAGAAATCGGGATTTCGGAAATTGAAACGAAGAAACTTGTTCCAAATCCGGAAATTTTCGGATTGGAATTGGCGGAATTCGGAATTTTCCAAAATTTTCTCATCTTAAATATAAAATACATAATAATATTGGTATTCTAATTGTGATATTCGGGGAAAAAAAATCATATTTTTTGGAATTATTTTCGGAACATTAATCGAATAGGAAATCGGAATCTCAAATAATTTCGGAAAAACTGGAAGTTGAAATTTCGGAATTCGGATTAAAAAAATCGGAATCTCAAATAATTTCGGAAAAATTGGAAGTTGAAATTTCGGAATTCAGATTAAAAAATATTGTTCCAAAATCGGAAAAATTCGGAATGATTGGGAGAAACGAGGTAGGCGGCGGCGAATGAGAGAGCATAGAATCATTGAAAATTATTTTGGAAATAACAATTTAGTCCTCATATTTAAGGTTATCTGTATTTATGGTCATTTAACTATTCCAGCTTTTAATTTACTTCTTCTTTTTACAAAACCAAACATATAAATAGGTGAAATGCGTTTTACGCCCCAAAATTGACATTAATTAGCAGTTTGCACCCTAAAACTTCAAATCTTAGTACTGTCTCCACTTATAATAAACCTTAAACCATGCAAAATTTAATGTGCAGAATGTAAAATAATGGAGACTCCTTATAAAATTAAAACAAAATAAAAAAAATTTAAAACAAGAAAAAAAATAATAACTAGGATCAAGAAGTACTCAACGCAGTTTGTCTCCATTTCAATGCGAAGCGAAGAGGAATACGTATCCGTTGTTCGTAGCTCGGCAATTCAAAAATCGGGCGCCATTTTCCTTCTCGAAATTCTCCTTCTCGCATCGCCTCCAATCTCACTTCCTCCAAATCGCGCAACAACAACTGTGCCAGCTCATCATCTTTGTCTCCACTCTCTCTCCGCGTTAGAATCTTCCACATGCACTCGGTTACGTCCTCCTCACGTTTGCCAGCGACGTCGGAGACAATGAATCTCGGACGACAAATACAAAACAAGTCGCTTAAAATAGATGAAAGATAAGATACGCAACATTCCAAATTGAAGCTCTCCACCACAACCGGTTTGTCACAACCATTTCCTCGTACGGCGGGATTGAAGTTATTTTTACTAATACTCAGTGAAATTTTCGACTCGCTTAATGACTCAAGCAGTTCATTTAGCTCGAGGAGCCACGAAGAAGAATCGTCATCCAAATATATAAATAAAAGCGAACGCCACTCGCCGGAAGTAGTCGTTGCAAAAGAGATGGACGGGATAAAGTCCACTCCCGTATACGTAAAATTGTTTATTATCGGTGCATCGATAAATAGCTTGATTCCCATCATTCCATCGCAGAAAAAAAATTTCAGGTGCTCGAGGCTCGGGAATTTACACGAGGACAGGTGTTCCAATGACGATTTGACACGCCACAAACGTAAACTGTTAAGATTACGAAAGTACCCTCCTCCGTCGTGGAGCCAAATATTATCACTTATATTTACGGTTACAAGAGACGGGGGGTGGATTTCTATGCTACAGTCAACACGACGCTTCGAAAAAGAAAATTTCTTGAGATTGTGAAGATGATTCACCTTAATTTTTTTCAGCCTTTTACATTGGTTGACAACCAATGTTTCGATCGAAGGACAATTCGAGATTATCGTCTCGAAAACGTCGTCCTTGATGCGGACTTGTTCGAGACAAAGTGATCTTAGATGCTTGAAGACAACTATCCTTTCAATAGTCTCTCGGCCCAACACGAAGCTCTCCACGTGCAAATCTTGGAGCGATTCGACTTCAAAGACTACAGACGGCAGATCGACAGATCCCAAAAAATGTCCCGAACCATTCGAAAAGCGTAGCTTCTTCATACCCGTAACCGTGGGTGCTCGAATCCATTTTTCGAGAAGAGAAACGAATTCATGATCCATTTCACGTAAGAATATACGGAGGTGAAACTCCTCTACACGCAACCTTTGATCGCAGTATCGCTGTAGAGTAGTATCCACAACTGAGAGAAATTGTTGGTTGTTACCTTTGAAGGTGTTGTCTGAAAAATCGAGATTGGGACGAGTGCACCAAATATTACGCCACGATTTCGACAAGACAGATGTTCGGACAGCATCGTCTTGGGACACGAAATAAAGTATTCTCTGCAAGATGTCTTCTGGCAACTCGGATATCCTATCCGTGGAGTTATTGGAGTTGACTTCTGCTTTTACCTTTTCCATGGCTCTATTAAACCCTAGAGAGAGAAATAAACTCGGAAAAACAGATCTATATTCTATATATATAAACCCTGATGAAATAACTCGGAAAATCAGACCTATGTAGATAAATTATAAACCCTAGTGATATAAACTCTGGTAAGCAGACCTATATAAACCCTATATAAACCCTAGGGTTAGAGATTGAAACACATATTATTATTAGAGAAGAACGGTTTCATCTAAAACCTAATTAAAAAAACTTATGTAAAGTGACATTTATGGTCATTTAGTTATTTAAGGTTTTTATAGTACTCATAAAAAGCAAAAAAGAAAAAAGAAAATCAAACATAAAAATGGGTGTAAGAATATTTTATTATAAATATGCAGGGATAACTACAAAATTTGCATATATATGTATGTGTGTAGGTACCTCGAGGTGTAAATGAGCCGAGCTCGCCGAATTTTTTGAACTCTAGCCTGCGTCAAATTTGGTGAGCTCGAGTTCAACTCATATATATTTTTTTCTCTAATTTTAAAATAATAATAATTTTAGTTTTGTTACAAATTATTTAATATGAAAAATAAAAAAGTTATGGAATAAATCATAAACCATAATATATATATATATATATATATATATATATATATATATATATATATATATATAAAGCTCGCGAGCCGGTTCATGAGATCACAACTAAAGATGGGCTCAAGCTCGTCGGAAAAGCTCGAGTTTTTATCGAGCCAACTCAACGAGCTCATGAGCCGGTTCAGCTCCTTTACACCACCCCTATGTGTAACTGCAGTTTACAGATGGAGAAAGCAAGGGTAATCAAGTAATAACCATGTATTTAATCATTAGCAAAAAAAAAAAAAAATAACCCCATCAAGTAATAACAAAATTGTAATAAAACAACGAAGCTAAGCAATCCACACACGTTTGTTGATTTATTGTCCTCTGTTTAAATGACTACTGCACCTTCTCATCAGCTTATTTCACTGTTTTTTAAACCCATCGAATTATTATTATTATTATTTTCTCAAGAGATTCCTCTCGGTCTCCAGCAGAGAAGGAAGTCATTTTCTCAAGAGGTTTCGTTTCAACCTTCATTCAAAAATCGACTATGGAATGTTGGATTCAGCTTCTTTTCTTTCTATCAGCTTGATGAAATTCTGGACTATCGTCCTTCCTTCGCTAGTGATGATGCTTTCTGGGTGGAACTGAACACCCTGCATTCATCGAGTAATAACAAGTATGTTTAGCTTGCGTCCGAACCAAATAAAAAAAAATATTGAATGTAGAATTTTCTCGTCGAATCACCATAGACAAACAAGCTACAGGGGTGGCTTTAGTAGCTAAAGTTAAAGAAACTGTAATGAACAAAGCTAGTCAACGTACGTCTTGACCCTATTTCTATTTCTATATTTGGCGTCAAATTTTCCCTATAAACGAGGCACAGCGCTCCCTAATTCGAGGTGGATAAGCTGTCACTAATGATTTAGACCTCGAATATACTACAACCTCTGAAGTAGGTATAATAGTTAGTTAACAAACACAATAAGCCTTAGTGTCCAGGTGGCACATGATATATATACAGATGAAATAAGGAATAAAGAAACTGTTACCAGTAGATGTCTGTGTACTTTGTGACGAGCAGCCATAACTAACCCATCTTCTGTCCATGCAGTTATCTCGAGAAAATCGCTTGGAAAACTTTCCTTCTCAATCACAAGGCTGTGGTACCTACCTGCAGTAAAAGGGCTGGAAGAAACATGGGGGGGGGGGGGGGGGGGGGGGGGGGGGGGGGAAAAAAAAATCCCCCTAAAAAAAAAAAGGAAATTGTTTTTTTTTTTTTTTTGAAAAAAAAAAAAAAACCCCCCCCCCCAAAAAAAAAAAAAATTTCCCCCCCAAGGGGAAAAACCCCAAGGGGAAAAACCCCCCGTTTTTTTGGAAAAAAATTTGGGGGCAATTTGGGCCAAAAAAAAAAAAAAAACCCCCCCCCCCCAAAAACCAAATTTTCCAAAATTTTTTCGGGGCCAACCCTTTTGGCCCCAAAAAAAATTTTTTAATTTTTTTTTTTTTAAAAAAAAACCCCCCAGGGCCCCGGGGAAATCTTTTTTTGGGGGAAAGGGTTAACAAAAACCCCTCCTTTGGGGGGGGGGGGGGGAAAAAATTCCCTTACCCCATTTTTTTCTTTTTTCCCAAAAA